CCCTATGAGGCATTATACGACATAAAGCCAAATGTGTCCATGCTTCGAGTTTTTGGCTGTATGGGTCAGTACAAGGTGCTGGATGATAAACGCAGTAAGTTTGAAAGCAAGGCAGCATGGGGCATGCATCTGGGCATGTCCAAGGAGAGTAACGGTTGGTTGACTTGGGATCCTCTCCTAAAAAGGAATGTTGTGTCAAGGGTCATGATCTTCTATGAAGACATGTCCCCGTCTTCTTGGAGATCTTCTCTCCCTCTCGTGTCCTCTCAAGTTCCCCCCTTCTCTACATTTGCAGATTTCGAACTTCCAACAATCATTCTAAGTGGCGTTCCTACATCATCACCGCAGCAGCAACACAAAGACACGCCTCAAAATCAAGACCAACAACCATCAGCATCATCTTCTGCCCCCACCCCTCATCAGCAAGAGCAACAGCAGCAGCAACCGTCACCGCCTCCATCACACCAGCAACCATCTCCACCCGATTTACCTCCTCCTCTTAAATCCTCTCATCCTCTCCAGCAGCACCAACAGCAGCATCCTCCTGACACTCACACTCTTCAACCTTCCCTCACACCTCTCGTCGTTCATCGGCCCAGCGGCTACCATCCAGCAGCCCTTCTTCACCTTCCAGATCATCGTCAACTCCTACCGTCAACCGTGCAACCACCACCAACACAACACCACACATATTCTCATATCCAGCATTCGACAATTCCGACTGTTAGAGCTCCATCTGAAGTCCATTCTCAACCAGCAGCACCGCCGAATTCGCCCCACCTGATCGATATCAATTATCCACCAGACGTGAGCACGTTGTCCTATGCAGCACCACCAACCTTTTCTACTTCGTCTTCGGCGCAATTCACCTCTCATGTACCATACTCCACCCTCAGCTCTCTCCTCGGCTCACCTCCAAGTCATTTATGTAGCGGTCGCACCTGCTTCCAATGCAGGATCCATGCCACATGTTTCGCCATCTCCCAACTTCGACCCGATCCTCTCAATCGCAGAGAAGCTGTGGCAGGAGCATTTAAGGAGCAGTGGTTAGCAGCGGAAAAGGCAGAACTGGAAAGTTTACTCGACCAGGGAACTTGGACTTTGGAGCCATTACCCAAAGGAAAGAAGCTCGTGGGAGTAAAATGGGTCTACCGGGTAAAGATTAAGGGTGATGGATCCCTGGACAAGTTCAAGGCTCGTTTGGTCGCCAAAAGATATTCTCAAGTTCCTGGACAAGACTACAATGAAACATTTGCTTCGGTTGCCAAATGCACCAGTGTACGCGCTCTTCTTGGCATGTCAGCACGGATGGATCTCTGCATCTTTCAGCTGGACGTCTCCAACGCCTTTCTTTACGCCATTTTAGAAGAAGAAATCTACATGGCTCAACCTGTATGGCCTCAAGCAAGGTCCACGGGTTTGGTATCACGCATTGGAGTCCGCCCTGCTGGCACAAGGTTTCACACAATCTGAGTGTGACCCTGCACTCTACATTCTGCATACGGAGGTGCATGAGGTACTGTGGCTGATCGTGTATGTGGATGGTAGCCTCATGGTGTCACGTTCTCTCTCCCTTCTTACCCACATCAAAGGCATGCTCACCAAGGAGTTTGTTATGACAGACATGGGTGAGCCATCATATTACCTTGGCATGAACATCATTTGTGACCGTCCCTCTTGCTCTCTTTCTTTCACAAGAGCGATATATTCACAAGGTCCTCTATCGCTTCGGCCTTCTCACCTGCAATCCTGCATCTACACCTCTCCCTTCTATTTTTCAGCATTCTTCCCCTTCCACTTCTGACATTCAGCCCTCCCAGTCTGAACCCCTTTCTAGTTGGGACGAGTTTCACGAGGCTCTTGCACCTTCATCATCTTCATCCCCTTCTTCTTCCACCGCACCTCCTTCATCACTCCTTTCCCCCCTCGACATTAATCTTTACCAGAGCATTGTCCGTAGCCTCATGTACGCATCCGTCTGCACCCGCCCAGATCTCTCTCATGCTGTGGGCATGCTTTATCAATTCCTTTCCTCGCCATATACTCAACACTTGAACGCTGCAAAGCGTGTCCTGCGCTACCTCTCCGGCTCTAAATCTTTTGGTCTCTTCTTTCATGGACATGAGCATGGTAGTGTCTTGCATGGTTTCACATATGCGGATTGGGCAGGTCCTCTTTCAAAGCGGAAGTCCACTGGAGGCTACATGTTTGTAATGGCGGGAGCAGCTATTTTTTTGGCAATCGAAGAAGCAAGGATGTGTGGCATTATCTTCAACAGAGGCGGAGTACATGGCTGTGACTCAAGGAGCAAGAGAGGCTGTGTGGTCGAGAGGGTTACTGACAAAGTTGGGTCTTCCCTAGTATGAGCCGACCATTATGCACATTGACAACACATCGGCAATCGCCTTGAGCAAAAACACGGTCTATCATGGACGCACAAAGCACATTGATTCCCTGTATCGATACTTCGGGAGCTGATTAAGAACAAAGTTGTGACACTGGCCTACTGCAGCACCACGGACCAGGCTGCTGACTAAGATACTCCCTCGGCATCTCTTTCTTCTTGGCCGCCACCGCGCTGGATTGCTGCCGATCGAGTCTCTTGAGTGCTCCTCCACTGCTGTCCCTTCCGCTCCTTTACCTCGCTCTAAGGGTCAGCAGTGCGGGGGGGGGGGTGTTGGAATGAACTGCTGCTGCTGCTCGCGTAACACCAGGGTGGCGGGAACAAAATTTCACGTGGCGAAAATTTTCGCCACAGTTTCCCCGTCAGCCAAAATTCGAATCTGCAAAAGGGCAACCAACAACATTACCCATTCGCCACTTCACCATCTTTATCTCCAGTCAGCAAGGCACCATTTCATTTTCACCCAGTATGAATTCATCAATCCTCCACCTCATCTCTTCTCCAATCCTCCTCAACCTTCTTGTCCGAAACTCCACCAATGAATTAAAAGATTCCCTACCAATTCTTAAATCAAGGCCACATTCATTCCAGCCACCAAGCCTTAAATTCAAGGCCACATTCATTCCACTCACCAAGCCTTAAACTCAATGCCATATTCATCCCACTCACCAAGCCTTCACTTCAAGGCCACATTCATCACCCCCACCTTATCCAACTCAACCAATCACAATCATTCATCTCGTCTTCAAGCTCCACCAAATACAAAAAGGGTCCACCTCATTCTTCACTCGTACTTTTCAAGGCTATTTCATACCCAAGCTCTCTACAAGTTTGACTACAAGCTCTCTCAAGCTAACTTCAAGTCCTCCTCCTTATGCTCCAACTCCTAAGGCTCCACCATAATCACCAACCTCTCCCAACCCAAGCTCATAGCCATATGCTCCAGCTATAAAGAAGTTTATGCCACATAGTTCTTCTTCTAGATCATCCAGGATAATTTATCTCAAAATCTCATCATGTACCTCTTTTGGATTAATGCATTCTAAGTTTTCAAGGCTTCAATCAAAGATCCAAGATATACCTTTCAAGTCTCAAGCTTAAAGGTCCTTCTACATTCAACAACCAAGATCTACATTTCAACACTCAAGCTTGGAGGACCTTCTCCACTCAAGTCTCAAGATCTACCTCTCAATACTCAAGCTTGAAGATTCTTCATTCAACAATCAAGCTATACAATTTAAGCTTAAATTCTTCCTACAAAGCTTCTACAATATAGCAAGTAAGACTCCTTTAAAATAAGCCATTCTCTCTTTCATTCTTATCAAGTTTCTCTATTCAAGCTTCTTCATTTAAGTCTTCTTCATTCTTATCAAGTCTCCTTTCTTCTCAAATCTTGTTTGCTATTATCAAATTTGTTTTACTCTCAAGCCCCTTCACCTCTTTATCAATGTGAAGATTTGGTTCAGGAAAGATAAATCTATTGAATAATTCACCGGGGTACAAGGCGAGGCTATATATAGGCTCGACACAAAGGCAGTAACCCAGGTGTTACTAGAAGGTTCCGCGGACCGCGAAGCGTCCCGAATGGGTCCTTCTCGAATTCGGTGAAAAGGAATTCGGTGACAACTGAAAAGCCTAGAATTCGGTGCACTCAACCTAGTTCGGTGCCTATAACTATAATAATAGGAACGAGCCTAGGAAATCAAGCAAACGCATGCAAGATAAAATAAGGCTAAGCTAGATAATGCGTAATAAAGCAGAATCAAGTGAGTAAAGTCCAGCAAAGCCGTCGTACTCTCACAATCAATCACTCATTCAATATCTTCCTTTTAGTTAATCTTCCTTTTCCTTTTAACGTTTGCCATCATCTTTCTTTCAAGTTGATTAATGTTATCTTTAACCTTCTCCTTCTAAGCTTTTACATTCTAAATCAATCTCTACTTCAAGAGTTTCTTTATCTTATCAATTTTGTCTTACTTGAATCTTAACTCTGTCTTCTAGGTGTTTTCTTTATTTTTACTTGCTACTTACCCTTCCTTATCCCTTACTTCAATTTCAAGACGGCCCATGTCCGCTCCCCTAACCACTTCCGAGTCGCCCCCGCACCTTCCGCCAACTTCAGAGCCTTGTCTACCCTCGTTTGAGGCACTCCTGTGACATTCAGCCTAGCTCGGCTCTGCCTATTTAACCCTCGGCTCCGGTTCTCACCTAGCTCGACTCTGCCTATTTAACCCTCGTTTGGGCACTCCTATGACATTCAGTTCGGCAGATTTTTATTTTGTAAAAGCCACGCATTCATTTGTTGAACGCGACACAGATTTCGAAATAGCCTATACTGCGTCAACCCTAATTTTGTAGAAATGCGCAGGACCCGCGTTCAGGATCAGGAAGTAAGGGCTGGGAAGGCAATGAAGGGGCATCAGATAGTGGCTCGATAGCGGGCGCGTCGACGAGAGGACGACGAATGGCGACAAAACCGCGGCAGTCGACGGCGAATGACCGACAGTAGACGACAAGAGAGCGACAGCACAAGACGATAGCGATGAAAACCAGTACGCAATGTCAAAGAGCCGCGAAAGTAGAGGCGTGAGGAGCAATGGGCGGATGGGCAAGCACGAGTGCGCAGGCGCGACTCGCAGCGGGGCCGGCTGCCGAGCCGTCGGCGGCGATGCCGGTGGTGGCGGCGGAGGCAGCACCGTCACTGCGAGCAGCAGAGACCGCCACCACCGCCATTCCCGCCACCGACGCCACCGCCACCACCGCCATCCTTGCTGTGCGCGCTCCCCTACCGATGCATCCATAAGAGTCCGCGGAAAGCAGTTTGCGCGCCAGGGAGAGGTGGAGCGCAGATGGGAGCAACAGTGACGGGCGGCCGCGCGGAGTGGGAGGGGGACGGAACGGGGAGGGAAGGCCCAGGGAGGGGGGGGGAAAGCGAAGATGTGGGCGCTCATGGCTTGGGTTTGGTGGAAACGAGGCTAGGGGTGGGAGAAGGTGGGGCAGGATGCGGAGCAGGTTGGGGAGGAGGGAAGAAGGGGTAGGCAGAGCGGTGGGGAAGGGCGGAAGAGGGAAGGGGAAGAGCGCGGGAAAGGGCGAGAGGGGGGATGCGAACGGGGAGGAGAAGAGAGGGACGGTGAAGAGAGGGCGAGGCGAAGAGAGGGGAGGAGAAGAGAGGGGAGAAGAAGAGACGGGACGAGAAGAGAGGGGAGGAGAAGAGAGGGGAGGAGAAGGTGAGGCGTGCAACAGGTGAGGCGAAAAAGCTTCTTTATGAATGCTGAGTCATTTTTTAGTTCGACTTGAAAAGTTTTTGAAAGGCACTGAAGGAAGTTCCCCCTCTCCCTTCCCTCCTTCCCCCCCCCCCCCCCCCCCCCCCCCTCACTCCGCACAGGGAGGGAGCTATGAAGCACAGCGTGCTCGAGAGGCGGAAGGACGTGGGGCAGGCCATGCGAGGCTGAACATGATTCTCTCCCCCCCTCCCCGTCCTCCTCCCCCATCCGCACCCCCTCCCCGTCCTCCTCCCCCCTCCGCACCCCCTCCCCTTCCTCCTCCCTCCTTTGCACCCCCTCCCCGTCCTCCTCCCTCCTCCGCAACCCCTCCCCCTCAGCACCCCCTCCCCGTCCCCATTCCCCCTCAGCACCCCCTCCCCGTCCCTCTAAGCCCGTGCCATGTGATCACTGAACCAGGTGAGGCGTCGCAGCGCAAGTTAGCAAGGCTGAAGGAGGCAGGGCAGGCTGTGCGGGGCTGAAGGGGATCAATCCCCCTCCCCGAACCCCTCTCACTTATTCACCTACACATGCATAAGAGCAGAGAACGCAGCAATGAGGTGCTGCATGCTGGCAGGGCTCAAGGAGGTCAGACAAGTGGTGTGGGGCTGATTGAGATTCCCTCTCCCTCCTCCCTCCCTCCCTCCTTTCCTACGCCGCACAGGGAGCAATGCAGCGTCGCATGCTGGCAGGGCTCAAGGAGGTGGGACAAGCAGTGTGGGGATCAAGGAGATTTCGCCTCTGCCCCCTCTCTCCTCGCGCCTCCCTTCCTCCCGCCTCCCTCCCTCCTCGTGCATCCCTCCCTCGTCGCCCACACACAGGGAGCGATGAGGCGGCGGGTACTGGCAGGGCTGAAGGAGGTGGGGCAGGCTGTGCGCAGTGGGAGGGCCAAGTGTGTGGTGCTGGCGCCTAACGTGGAAGGGGCAATGGGGCCAGGTGAGGGAAAATCTGAGTGGGGGATGATGGCAGTGAGTCATGCACGAGCGAGTGTGGGGATGGGAGCGTCTGGGAGGATGGGAGGGGCAGGATGAAGGTGTTGTAATTTCATATTTTATACGACATACATAGGCTAGAAGTGTAGCACATTTATAAATCGGGGGGTTGTTTAGTGTACCCTCCAACCACATTTGTGATTGCTTGACCAATCCCAACCAACACACATTTGTGGTTGCTTGGGCCACAAGCAAGCTCACCCATTGGCCAACTTATTGGCCAATAGGGTAAGCTTCCCTCTCATCTCTCTCTTGCTCATTGTTTGTACTAAAGGGCCTCTTGGCTCATTATGTAATGCATCAATTCTCTCTTTCAGCATGGTATCATGAGCTAATGGCTCACGCCTTCATCCCTCGGTCCTTAGGCCACCCTCCCCTCCTCGTCCCTCAGATCTAGCCTTCTAGAACGGAGCTGCCATCTCTTCACGCACCCTGTAGGCGCTGTCCTCCCTCCCCGCGCGCCCTCCAAGGCACTGCTCCACGCACGTCCAGATCTGCAACTCCAGCACCCAGATCTGCCCTCCTCGCACTCAGTTCTACCCTCCCAGCGCCCAGATCTGCCCTCCCAGCGCCCAGATCTACCCTCCCAGCGCCTAGATCTACCCTCCCAACGCCCAGATCTACCCTCCCAGCGCCCAGATCTGCCCTCCCAGCGCCCAGATCTGCCCTCCCAGCGCCCAGATCTACCCTCCCAGCGCCCAGATCTACCCTCCCAGCGCCCATATCTACCCTCCTGGCGCCCAGATCTGCCCTCCCAGCGCCCAGATCTGCCCTCCCAGCGCCCAGATCTGCCCTCCCAGCGCCCAGATCTGCCCTCCCAGCGCCCAGATCCGCCCTCCCAGCGCCCAGATCTGCCCTCCCAGCGCCCAGATCTGCCCATTGCGCGTTCAGATCTGCATTCCGCGCATCCAGATCTGCACTCCGCGCGACCAGATCTGCATTCCGCGGATCCAGATCCGCACACCGTGCTACCAGATCTGCACTTCGCGCGACCAGATCTGCACTCTGCGCATGCGGATCTGCACTCCGCGTGACCAGGTCTGCACTCTGCGCATCCAGATCTGCACTCCGTGCGGCCAGATCTGCACTCCGCGCATCCAAATCTGCACTCCACGCGACCAGATCTGCACTCCGCGCATCCAAATCTGCACTCTGCGCGGCCAGATCTGCATACCACGCGACCAGATCTGCACCTCCAGCGACCGGATCTACTCCTCCCTCGCTCCGATCTGCCACAGGTCTGCCCTCCTCGTCCCTACCCACAGCAGCATCATCAGCGGCATCAACAGCGACGCCAACAACTGCAGCACCCTTCCTCCTGCCTCCCCCATAACATCGCCCCCCCCCCCCCCCCCCCCCCCTCTCCTCCTCCACCTTCCCCCACCTTCCGCTCCTCCCTTCCTCCTCCCATCATACCAGCAGCAGGACCAGCAGCGGCACCAGTAGCAGGACCAGCAGCGGCACCAGCAGCGGGACCAGCAGCGGCACCAGCAGCGGCACCAGCAGCGGCACCAGCAGCAGGACCAGCAGCGGCACCAGCAGCAGGACCAACAGCGGCACCAGCAGCAGTACCCTCGCCCCATCCTCATCCTGCCCTTGTTTCCACCCACCCTCATCTCTATGGCATCGTCGGATTCTTCCGTCGACCTTGCTACTGTTGATGCACTTGAGTTGCTGCCCGACAACACTGCTGCTAATTGGCACTCCTACGCTCACTCGGTTGAGATTCTCCTCTCCTCTATTGTGATCAGCGGCTACAACCTTCGCTCTGTTGTCTTCCAGGAAGGTGGTGGACTTCAGCCTGTGGCCCCCACCGCTCCCACTGGACCTGTCCCCAGCCACCTTGGCGTCGAGCCCTCTCCCTCTGGTGATCCTCCTACGTTCGCACCGAATGAGCTCGGAGAGCTCGGAGAGCTCGGAGTGGGGGTGGACGAGGCGGATCACCGGGTCGCGGTGGCAGTGGTAGCGGTGGTGCGGGTCACGGTGCGGCAGCTGCCTTTCCTCCCTGTCAGTACCTGCCTCGCTACGGTCCCACTCAGGGACAACGCTGCAGCCAAACCACTCATGCCACAGAGACATTCTTCAAGGCACTCAGTGATGAGTGGTTTACCCGTGGCAACACCGGCACCCCTCCTCTCTGGTCTGCCCTCAACCCACGCCCCACTCCCCTTGAAGTCCGTTCCTCACCCCTCTATGAGCCTTCCTCCTCCACCCAGGCCCACCAAGCCCTTGACCCTCCCTAGCAGTAGCAGCAGCAGCTTGGGAGTCAGCAGCAGGGGTCACAGCAGTATGGGCAGCAGCTTCTCCTTTCTCAGCTCGGAGAGCAACGATCCGCAGAGCTCGGAGACCTACATCTACCTCTGCTTCCCCTTCCACCCTGGGCACTGCAAGCAGATTTCTATCAAGGTGGTGCTGAAACGCTACCTTCATCAAGGTAAGTCCCTTTCAGAGTGAGCCTCCCAGTAGGTAAGCCCTGGTCTTGAAGTCACGACGACTCCACAGGGATTCATTCACCTCGGGGTGAACCCATTGGCTCTGGACGTCTCAAAACTACTCCAGGTCGCTCTCAAGGTGAACCAATATTGAAATTTCTAGAGAATCCCTAACGTGTGTCTTGGCGTCACAACCCCCCTGCAGCCACCACAACGTCGAGGTTGGAGAAAAGGCACGTCCCTCCTTTCCCCTCCACACCCCCTCTACCCCTTCCTCAGTCCCATTCCCCTCCCCTCCCTCGCATGGGTGTAGAGAGTGATGAGGCGGCAGTTGCTGGCAGGGATTGGAGGTACCTCCTTGCCCCTTTCCATCCCCCCTTCCCCCTCCCCATCCCCCTTATACCTCCCCATCCCCCCAAGCCCCCCAAGTCCTCCCTCCGCCCTTCTCATCGTCCGCCACATCCCCCATCCGCCCCCACGTCCCCCATCCGCCCCCACGTCCCCCATCCGCCCCCACGTCCCCCATCCGCCCCCACATCCCGCTTTTGTTTCCCATTCGAAAGCAAGCTACAATGTGGCGGCAGACGCTTGCAGGGCTGAAGGAGGTGGGCAAGGGAGTCCCTCCTCCCTCTCCCCGTCCCCATCCCCATCCCCATCCCCCTCCCCATCCCTTTTCCCCTCCCCCTCTCCCTCCCCTCCCTCTCCTGTTCCATGGGATCAGGGAGCGATGAGGCGGCAAGTGCTAGCAGGGTTGAAGGAGGTGGGGCAGGTGGTGCCACGTTCCCTCTCTCGAACTGTCCGTCGTGTTAATATCACCAAGGTACACATAGGGTAGGGCAACACCTACACACAACAAAGCTACGGTAGCAGTCAGCTAACCTAACACACCAACAGCCGCCCCTTCCCCTTCCGGCCCTAGTGGTCGGAGGGGTCTTCTAATAGTTGGTACAGCTGGCCCTCGCTCAGTGGAGTGAACGGGCCCTGCAGGTCTAGCACGTCCGCGGTAAGAGCCTCATGGGTCTTATCCCTGAGGGCGTTGGCTTGAGCTCTCTGTAGGGTCACGCTCCATCGCTGCCGGTACTTGGTAAATCGCTTAGCCACCTCCCTCGACTTTGGGGCAGCGTTAAATCGCCGCTTTGCCGCCAGCTCTGCGCAGCTGCGAAGGAAATCGAGGACTCCAGGTGATGGGTAGCCGTAAGTCTCAACAGCCATGGCACAAAAGCCCACCCACGCGCTCCGCCCGGCGTATTTGGTCTCCTTCTTGTCCGCCTGCATCCTAGCCGCCCACCCGGGCGCCTTATGGGCGTGCTCGTCCTGGTGGGAAACGAGGTCTGTGACTGTGATGTCACAAATCCGCACTGCACCAGTGTTGGGATGGCGGATAGAGATATCCGCTTTGAGGTTTTCGACCGGTGAGTATGCCGTTGTCTCCTTGTGCACTGTGAAGCCAGCTTCAGCCGCTATCTTCGCGCATTCATCTCGCAAGGCATTGTGAGTGGCGATTCTCCCCCCCCCCCCCCCCCCCCCTTTCTCACACCACATCAGGTGGTTTGGCAAGCAGTTGTCATGGAAGGTGGTGCGGTATCTGCAGTTGCAGCGTCTTGGCACAGGTTTGGGCAGGCCCAGGCGGAAGGATGCCGCCGAGGAAAACTGGGGGGGCCCGAAGCGGAGGGAAGAGATCAAGGGGATGGCGTGCAACCAGTCCCCCACCCCCGGGCCTAGGAGGGACTGCAACCTTTGCGTATGGCCGGACAGCCGGTTCAAGTCCATGTTTTGCGAGCTATCCAGCATCCGAATAAACCGGGCTGTGTGTACCGCAAGGGAGAGAGCCTGTTGGAGCTTTGGCCCGTCAGGCTTTTGTCTCCCCACTTGCAAAGCCTCAATCCCGTCAGGCGGCAGCTCGGCTTCCAGGGCGGCTAGGCGTCTTGGGAGGAGGGAGGTGGATTCCTCGTCAGCATCCATGAGCGGCAAGAGTCTTGTGAGAGCCGGGTTTGCCGAATCGCCGAAGGAGCGCAACCGGTGGGCAGCAGAAACGACCGATGCCAGGTAAGCGAATCCCCCCTCCATTGCAGGATTGGTGATGCCGAGGCCTCCCAGGGACGCGGGCAGGGCGGCCTGGTGCCAGATCCTGTCCTTCTCTGCCCGGTCCCTGGGGATCGTTGTGTGTGCCGCAACCAGGTAGGTGTGGAGCAGTTCTTCCCCCCAGGCAAACCATTCCCCCAGCGGCAGAGCCTCAAGCGGCGTGGCTCGAACCAGAAATGAGGCGTGGCGACTCACACAGCGGCTGAGTTAGCAGTAGCAGGCATAGTTGCGGGTCCATCTGAGAGAGGAGCGTGAGTGGTTCGGCTGCTGCGGCTAGGCGTTCACGCACTCGAGCAGCACAGCCAGTGTGGGGCCCAATGGGGCTGCCTAAGATGCGGACACCGTCCAGGGAGATTGTGACGCCAGGGGGTAAAGTGGCAGGGTCCAAGGCAGCTGCGGACCACGCCTCGCACTTCGCCGGGTTGTGAGTTAGGCCGTGGCTGAGGAGGGCCTCTGTGAGGTGAGTGAAAGCCGCCGTGCAGTTCGCCGTCTCGCCTAGCAGAGTGATGTCGTCCTGGCGCACGCCTCGAGCGCTCTGAAGAGGCTCTGCTCCAAAATCGTGGGCGAGATAGAGCATAGATGAACGGCCGTATGAGAAGCGGACGAGGGGCACCAGTACTTCGAGGTTGGTGCCTTTCAGCCCCTCGAACACTGCCGCGCGCTCCACTGCGTTGAACGCGTTTGCCAGGTCAATCTGTAGAGCTGTCGTAACCATGCCTGCTACAGGCCGCCGTTTGGCAAACACGGGCCGAGGGCAGGGCTGACGATTCAAGGGCAAATGCCCTTAATGCCCTGAACATTAAGGGCTGGGTTCGGCCCAGCTTCCGAATTTTAAGGGTTGGCTTTGAGGGCAGCCCGTCCCCGCAAATTGCTGGTTGTGGGCCTAACCCGGATTTCAAGTGCAGATCCCGTGGCTAGCCCTTATCGTCCCATACTAATACCTCCCTCCCTCCCATTCCCTCACCAGTCCCCCCACCTCCTCTCAGCCACCCCCCTCTTCCTTTTCCCATCCCCGTCAAATCCATCGACATGTTTCGTACCTCAGCCTATTGCCTAGCTGGCTCTTAGTAGTTTGCCTAGGATAACGGACCCGAAGAGATGTAGGTTTTCCTTAGCGAAAGTGCAAAAAAGTGGGTAGCCCTGATTTCAAGTGCCAGGTTTGCTCTCAGCCCGTAAATTTCAGGGCAACTTTTGGGGCACCTCAGCCTCTCAAGTTCTGGCTCCAAACCAATCGACAGCCCTGGCCGAGGGTTAGACTCTGTAGGTGGGTTCAGGAAGCAAGAGATGGGAGGGCAACGGGCGTCAGATAATGGGTCGACAGCGATCACGTTGAACAGACAGGGCGACGCGAGAGCGACGGACGGTGACGAAACCGCAATTGTCGACAGCGAAAGTAGACGATGCGACAGTAGACGGCGATGGCGATAAAAACCGAATCGCGGTGGCGGAGATCCGCGAAATGCAGCAGTGCGAGGAGCAGTAGCAATGGTTGGCGAGGTAAGCACGCGCGCAGAGGCGGGGCTTCCAGCGGCGGAGGCTGCGGAGACAGCAGCGACGGGGTCAGCACCGTCGCTGCTCGGAGCAGCTCAGGCCGGAGCGGCGGCAGCGGTGGCTTCGCGAAGTGGCGGTGGAAGTCCGCGCCGGTCGCGCAACGCCTGGATCACTTCCTCGCCGCCGTCACCGCCACCGCCGCAGCCCCCGCCGCCGCCGCCTTCCCGGCTGCGCACGCGCCTCTACCGCCGCCTCCGTGAGAGGCTGCGCGAACAAGTTTGTGCGCCAGTGGGAGGGGGTTGGGGAGCGCAGATGGGGACAGCAGCGACGGGCGGCCGCGCGGAGGGGGAAAGGGGGGCGGAGGAGGGCGCGGGGTGGGCGTGGGGGAGGTCGTTGGGAGGGGCGTGGGGAGGGGCGTGCGGGACGGACGAGGGAGGGGCGTGGGGGAGGGACCAGGGAGGGGCGGGTGCGGGTGAACCCGGCAAAGTCGGAGAGCATGGGTGTGAGGCGGGGGAAGGAGAGGCAGACACCGAAGCAGAAGCAAGTGAGCCGCTTGAAACGAATGGTGGTGCTGGCTAGACGGGGGAAGGGGGGGGGAGAGGGATGGGGAAGACGGCCCCTTCTCCCCCATAAGGGGTGGCTCAGAGAGGGGAGAGGGAAGGGGTGTGTCAGAGAGGGGAGAGAGAAGGGGTGGGTCAGTCAGAGGATGGTGGGATGGAGGGAAAGGGAAGGAGGGGAGGGCGGCAGGAGAGGAAGAAGTGCAGAGGAGAGGCGAGGGAGGAGAGGCAGAGAGTGGATGGGAAACGAATGTGTAGGCGAAGGTGAGGGAGGAAGGAAGGGGAGGAGAAGAGTGGGGAGGAGAAGGGAGGGGAGGAGAAGGGTGGGGAGGAGAAGAGTGGGGAGGAGAAGAGTGGGGATGAGAAGGGAAGGAAGGAGAAGGGGAGGGGAGGAAAAATAATGGGAGGAGAAGGGAGGGCAAGAGAAGGAGGGGAGGAGAAGGGAGGGGGGGGAAGAAGGCAGCGAAGTGAAAGTGAAAACTCAGCCAACCATGTACATAGCAGCAGGTGAGGCGATGAGTATTTTAGTCAACCCTAAAACACCCTGCGAAGCAAAGGCTGTCTCAGCGGACTGCTGAGGCAAGGAGACAAGACAAGTAGCACGCGAGGCATGGGGCTCTTCTCACATCCACCCGGATGGCTTTCTTTCCAACCAACAACACCCTGCAAAACAACGGTGATCCTAACATTCATTGGCGAGGAGGCAAGCAGCAGGACAGGTGAGGCAAGGAGTTGACCTCTTGCTACTGAGCGCCAGCCCCCAAAAGCGACTAAATCTGTCGTAAGTTACAAAAGTGACGCCACCAATGAGCTTGTAGAGCTCTGAAGATCCAGCTCCATGGTGTCGTGCACCACACCATGCACATTGCCGTGGCAATCCCATGTTTCAAAGCAGAGAGCAGAGCCGAGCACACATGTATGTTTCTCAGGCGTACCTCTAGCAGGTGGCACTGTGTGTGGCGGGCACCCCTGGAGCTGAACACGCTGCTGGTTGCTCTTCTGGCCCCACAAACTTCCCTCCGTCGGTCCATCACTCCCCCTTCCTTCCTTCCTTCCTTCCTTCCTTCCTTCCTTCCTTCCTTCCTTCCTTCCTTCCTTCCTTCCTTCCTTCCTTCCCAGTCCCCCCTCACCTCTGGCCAAGAGCAGGGACGCCCACCAAGTGGTCACCCCAGAGCTCAACACACTCGTGGTTGCACTGCTGGTCCATACCCTCTTCCTCCCATCCTTGCCCTCCCATCCCCCTACACCCGTCACCCCCCCTCCCCCCTCTTCCCCTAGGTATGCCCACCACGTTGTAACAACTCGTGGCTGCACTGCTGGCGGAGCACCCCCCTCATCTCCCCCACTCCTCCTCTTCCTCCCAACCCTCCCCCAGCTATGCCCACCAGGTGGTCTGGTCTCTCCGGAGCTGAACGTATGCGTGGCTGCGCCGCTGTCATTACCTTTAGCAAGGTGCATTGCATACGTCCTTCCTCCCACGCACTTTCCCTCTCCTCCTGCTCAACCCCTCCTTGCTGTCTGCCTCTCTCCCCCCAGACACGCCCACCAGGTGGTCACTCCGGAGCTCAACACACCCCTGGCCACCAAGGCTGCTGATCCATACCCCCTCCCTTCCCGCCACCTCCCTCCCATTGTTCCCTTCCGTCCATCTGTGTCTCTTCCCTTTCGCATAAAAGGATAGTTTCGACTCGGATCCAACGGTCCTAACTCGCCCTATTCTCCTCTAAGTCGAGTTAAGGCTGGTAGGGAATGAATAGGTAAGGAGTTTGCCATTCAAACCTGAGCGTACGTGCGTTTCGGCCGGTGGCCTTCATCAGCGCTCTCAGAGTTACAAGAAAGAACTACTCCCATCTACCTTGCCCAACACTCAACCAAGAAACAAGAAATCCAGTGCGGCTCGCCATTGCGGCTCGCTAGCTGGCTGTACAACATTTACAATGACAGTCCCACATGCAGGTTGGTGGGACGAATTCAATCCCATCAACTCACGGGGGTGGTGTATCCCCGTTTTTGAAACTTCTCTTTCACCAAGAGGTTACGTACCCTCTTTGGTAGACGCCAACACACTAACATCCGTGGGAGGGAAATATATTGCAGAGAGTGTTTTTTGAGAATTCTCAAAAAATCTTCCCTTTCGCATGCAGGTTGTGACACCCGAGCTCAACACGCTGGTGGCTGCGCTGCTGACGGAGCTGCCACCTCTCCCCTCGTGCGCCCTCTCTTTTGCCCTATTCCCTCCCCATCAACCCCCCCAGGTACGCCCACCAGGTGGTCACCTCAAGGTGAGCGCCTAAGGAGGAGGGGAATGAGTATGGGGAGAAGTGGCTTGTTACGATTCCAAGTCAGGGCGTCTAAGGTGAGACTAGGGGGGGGATTCGCATAGGAGGGAGGAATGGCTACGGGGGAAGGGTATGCTGTTCTTTCAAGACAGGGCGTTTCAAAAGGACTCCCTCAATGTGAGCCCCCCTCAAGGCAAGCCCTGGCCTTTCTATCCCTCCCTTTGCAGTCACGCCAAGGTACCAACCTCTTACCACCCGGTCCCCATCCTGCTTCCGTGGAGAGTAGTGCAGTGCTTGGGGATGGGAGGGCCAAGTGTGTGATGCTGGCACCTAACGTGGAGGAGGTGCCTGGGGCAGGTTGAGGGGAGGAGGGGGGGTGTGATGTGATGATAGCACACTACGTGGGGAGAGGGAGCGACAGTGAGGGTGCAGCAGAGGGCAGGCTGTGGGTGAGGCAACGCACATATGTTGTGCCCAGCAGGAGATGACTAGGCAGAAGGGCAATGGATGTATGTAGAGGGGGTGTGGTGATGGTGACTAGAGCACGAGTGCATGCATGAGGATATGGGAGCCAAGTGTGTGGTGCTGTCCTGAAACCGTGCTGTGCTGGCCGGTCACTCGAAGACATGTGACAAGTGACTGGGGGAGGTGAAGGGAGAGGAGGACGAAGGGTATTGGCAACAGTGGGAAGAGGTGAATGAATAGTGCGCAAGTGCATGTGGGGAGGGGAGCTGTAAGGGGGAAGGGACATGAGGGTAGGGGTTGATTAATGCTGGTTGAATAGCGCACGAATGCATTGCGGTGGGTGAGGAGGGTAGTGTGAGGTGGTGGTGGTGGTGGTGGTGGTGGCGGCGGCGGCGGCGGCGGCCCCATATGGAAAAGGAGAGAGGGTGAAGGAGACAGGCAGGAGGAGCCCATTGCCCAGGATGCAATGCTTTCAGCGCAGTGGATCACATCTAACAAAGTCCTAAAAGATGAAGCAATTGGTTCCTGATCAAACAAATTAACCAACGAATCCTCACCTCCACCCTCTTTCCTCCCCCCACCATGTCCCCCATGCCCTCTAGGCGCACTTGACTCTGAACCTGCAGTCCGTCTTCTTAAATGCCGCCACATGCAGCATTCTGACCCCCCAATCCACTCCACCCGTCCCTCCCCATCCTCTCCCCCATGCCACCATCCATCAGGTTGCCTTGTTGACGCTGCCCTCACATGCATCCTGTCTGGCAGGTGCATGTTGTAGCAAGGTAATATCCTCATCTCCCCTCCGCCCCCCTCTCTCTCCTACGGCACCATCCACCAGGCGGTTTTGATGCGGCCCTCGCCTCTATCCTATCAGATGGCGCCTCTTGCAGCATTCCTGTGCTCGTGGCTCTCTCCCGGCGACGCCTCGCCAAGGTGAGTGCGGGTGAAGATGGGCTGTTGGTGCTGTCAGGCTCGTTGAGGTGTGGAATGCGGGAAGTGCAGGCTGAGCTGGGCTGTTGGTTCTAGAGCCTGTTTAGACGCAAAATTTTTCGACCGCTAAAACCTAGCTTTTAAAACCGCGGGGGCGACGACGAAAAGCGCCGATTACGGGTACGTAAACCAGTTCCGCGCTACTTTTTAACGTCCCCCTCGAACCGGTTTTCGAACACTCCTCAGGTCCAGTGGCGAAAAGGTTGGAATTTCGACCGTCGGATCGATTCGAATCTCAACGGCCCTGAGAATTTCAACCAAAAAAGTTGGAATTTGGAGCATAGGATCGAAATTCTTCTCAACGGCCGAGATCGGACGCAAATTTCGCTTCAGGGAGAATTACGCGACCTACAGAATCAGCGCTCGTCATTTCTACAGCCGATTCGACTCACAGTAAGACGACCAGCGCCTAGAATTCAATTATTTTCGTCGCAAATCTTCCTGTAAATCGCCAAAATGGAGGAAAATGGTGATAATTGCGTACGAAAAAATTACGGAGTTACACACCGGCTTGGACCACACGCGAGCGGCACTCCAGCGAATAGAGGAGCTTGTCGCGAACCAGTCGGCAGCCGCCATAGCAGCAGCGAACGCTGCAGCGAATGCAGCAGCGACGGCAGCAGCAGCAGCGGCGACACCGACACTTCACCCAGCAGCAGCGGCAGTGGCAACAGTGAATCTTGAGGCGGCACGTCCGGGGCAACCGGAAACGTTCAATCCGAATGCGAGAGACACCGACGTCCGTCGATTCATTGCGACCCTCGAAATTTACTTCGAGGCCGTTGGCTGTACGACCCCGACACACGATGCAATGCGGATTCGGCTCGCAGCGACACTGTTACGAGGCCCGGCGCTCGAGTGGATTTACAACAGCAATAAGATCCGGGGCGAGGGGTCATGGACACAGTTTCGGGAAGCTTCAATTCAACGTTTCGAACCAATCAACTCCATCTACATGGCGCGGCAGCAGATTCATCGGCATAAACAGTTCGGCAGTGTAACACAGTACACGCAGCAGATGGAGAGCCTCTTCAACCGAATTATCGACCTGACCGAAGGGGAAAAAATCCAAGCGTATACTCAGGGGCTAAAAATGGAAGTCCGGCAACAAGTGAGCTGTGCGATAGTCATCATGGTTGGCGTAGGTGACACTGGTGTTGCAGACACCTTGAAGGCACGGCTGAAGGACATGAGCAGACGCCATGAGGCCAACGAGTACGGTCCAAACCTCCCGTTGGCGGTCGTCGAGGCAGGCATCCGCATCGTGTGGGCGGAGGAGCACCCTGCTCGACCGGCCTCTCCTCGACCGGTGAACAAAGAGGGCGGCATCGACGTAGGCGTCGACGCCGGGGACCAGGACGGCAGCAGTGCGGGAGGCACGTCGAGGCAGCGAGGTGTGATTCACATCGATGAAGTCGGCGGCGTTCAGGCGCGAGGAATGCAGTTGTCGGCCGCTGCAAGCTCCTCGCAAGGCGACGCCAGAGGTCGACGAAGCGGATTGACGCCGTCGTCGGCGACTCACGTGACAGCGGGTGGGATAGTGCCGAGCTACGGCTACTTCAAGTTTAAGCCGGACAACTTGGATGCCGGCCACCAAGCGTGGCACTGCATGGAATCGACATGCCAGGTCACCGACGACCTGTAGATCCGCCAGCTCGAGGAGCAGATGACACATCTGCGTATGGGCGACTAGGAGACGGCGACCGACTACTGCAACCGGGCACGTCGACTTCTCGCCACCATGAGGATGTCCGGCGTGCAGTACTCAATGGTGTCGTACATCACGCACGTCCGGAAGGGGCTCCCGAACAACAACAACCTGATGAAGCGGACGTCGGTGGTGCCGAGCACGCGAGCGACGCTCAACAAGGACTCCCTAACCTCGTACATCCTCAAGGACGAGGTGATGCAGGAGGCCGAGCGGTCCATGGAGCTCCTGCCGCAGGTGAACTACGCCACCCCGGCGAAGCAAGGAGGTCGACCGGGAAAGCTAGAGCAGTCTGGCGGCAGTGGAAGCGGTGGCGGGAAGCCGGCCAGGGACGCCGACAAGAGGAAGTCGGCTCAGGATGGCGGTCGTGGAGGAGGAAGTCAGCGTCGGGAGTGTTGGATCTGCCACAGCCCAGACCACCTCTCTTTCGAGTGCCCCGACCGCAGCGACTCCGACGATGACGACATCAAAGGAGGCCGAGGGAGGTCGGCCGGGCGTCGTCCTCGTCGGGAGAGCAAGCCACGCAGGGAGAAGCAGTCGACCAAGTCATCGACCTCGGCGAAGGACGCCGACTCCCCTGCTGGCGGCATGGGGCGAGACGACAAGGAGGCATCGTGCTCGCTGGTCGGCGTCGTGGAGCCGACCGTCTCACTGGCGCCGGAGGCCGGTGAGGACTTCCAAGCGGTGGCGGCAGCTGTGCAGGCGAACCCGGCGGTGGTCTTGCTCGACACTGGCTGCTCGCACCACCTGATGGGGACGAAGGAGGCATTCGTCGACCTGGAGCCGAGCGGTGACGTCAAGCACGTGCGCGGCTTCAATGGGGCGCTACAGGACGTTCGCGGCCGTGGCACTGTCGCCATGCAAGGCAACGCCGGGAAGCGGGTGCTGATCCCCAACGTGCTCTACGTTCCGGGCGTGAAGGCGAACCTGCTCTCAGCCAGCCAGCTGAAAGAGAACGGCGTGAAGCTACAGGAGGACGGGGACGAGATGCTCCTTGTCTCGGCGGCGGGGGACGTGCTTGGTCGAGCGACGTATACCGGCCGGGTCCTCTGCATCGACCTTCGTCCCTACCCGGTGACGTCGACGACGGCCACAGCGGAGGTGGTGGCTCTGCGGGCGATCGTATCGGCGACAAAGTTGACGCCGGGCAGGTGGCACGCATGGCTTGTGCATGTCGACGTCGACACTATCACGAGCTCGGTGAAGCATGAGGTCGCCACCGGCCTGGACGTCCACTCGACGACGGGCACCGACTCCTCGTGGGTCTCGTGCGTCGGCGGGAAGCTGGCGCAGCACACCTTTCCCGACCAAGGCTCGGACGCTGAGGACGCTTTGGCTGTCGTGCACATCGACTTGTGCGGGCCATTTCGGGTGGCTGTCAAGGATGGCAGCTTGTATTTCCTGCTGCTGAAGCACCGCAAGACCCGCTTCGTATGGGTGAAGCCGGTCGCCTGGAAGTCGGACGTGCTGCGGGAGTTCGAGAAGTGGCTGGTGGTGGTTGAGCGGCAGGCGAAGAAGCCGGTGCTGATGCTGCGCTCTGAGTGGGGAGGGGAGTTCCACGGGAAGGACTTCAGAGCCTTCGTGGACGGCAAGGGGATCGTCCACGACTTGACCTGCCCCTATACCCCGTAGCAGAACGGCATGACGGAGCGGGAGATGCGGACGGTGGTGGAGTCAGTGCGGACGATGCTGCTGCACATAGGAGTGCAGCACCACTGGTGGCGCCTTCCCTTGCAGGAGGTGTCTGGGTTCGCAACGGCCTGGAGAGGTCGACGCTGCCGCCGGGGATGACGCCGTACCAGCTGCTCACCGGGAAGAAGCTTGACTTGTCGCTGGCCCACGTGTGGGGCTCCATGGCGCAGTTCCTCGTCCCCAAGCAGCAGCGTGAGGGTAAGCTGAACCCAAAGGCCAGGTGAAGCCTTCACCTCAGCGTGTTGGAGGAAAGCAAGGGCCGGGAGCTCCTCGACATCGCCGACAACCGGGTGGTTACCACGTCGGACGTGGTGTCCTACGAGACGATGTCGCTGGAGGTGTGGAAGTCGGAGCACGGGCCGGCGTCGGGGCGGATGCAAGTCAACCCGCTGATCGACACCTCGACGGCGATGCTTCCCCTGCTCGCCAAGGTTGGTGAGCTTGCTGATGAGGACGCCGAGGTCGTCCGCCCTCCTTCCTATTCCCCTACCCCTCCTGCCCCACCCCTTCTCGCCGACCTGCGACAGTTGACATCGACGTCGGCTAGCGGCGATGAGGGGAGAAGTGGGTCGTCACCTGTGGCGCCGGCCAAGAGCATCTCCGGTGGCCGACGTGACGTCCAGCAAGTCATTGTGGGAGTGAAGCCGATGGAGACAGGAGAGGAGCAGGCCGAGGAGATGCAGCTGACTTTGGTGAAGCTGGCGAAGGAGGCATCGACAGGGTAGCAGCCGACAGGGGAGCAGGCAGCAGCGAGGCCGACCAAGGAGCAGTCGGCGATCAGGCAGTCGGCAGGGGAGCCGACCGTAGGGGAGAAGTCAACAGGGACGCCGACTATGGTGCAGCAGGACGCTGAGGGCAGTGACGCCGGTAACGATGGAGAGGATGCCGAAGAGTCCACTAACAGCGACGTGGTGGAGGTCCAACCTGCACCACGGCGTACATGCCGAATTCGAAGGCCGCCGATTTCTTCGTACCGGCTGCCTTCACCACAGTGTACGACGAGGCCGACGACGACATGCGGTACGACGACGCCGAGGAGGATGAAGACCTGCTGGAGCTCGACCCCGAGCACCGCTGGGACATCTCCATGATGACGGTGAAGGAGGCATTGGCGAGCTGGAAAGGCAAGGTGGTAAAGGCCGCCATGGAGGAGGAGATCCGCAGCCTCATCGGCATGGGCACCTGGGAGCTGGTAGAACGCCCACCTGGGGTGAACATCATGAAGAACCGGTGGGTGCTGATGACGAAGTACCGCATCGACGACACCGTCGAGCGCGAGAAGGCGAGGCAGGTCGTGAAGGGCTTCACGCAGGTGTATGGCGCCGACTTCGACGAGACGTACGTGCCGATGAGCAACTACGTCACGCTGAGGATCGTCCTCAGCATCGTCGCCGCCCTCGACCTCAACCTGACGCAGCTCGACATGAAGAACGCTTTCCTGCAGAGTAAGCTCGACCGGGTGCTGTACATGTATCAGCGCGAAAACTTCAACAATGGGAACGGCCAGGTGTGCAAGCTGCTGAAAAACCTCTACGGGCTGAAGAAGCCGCAGCTGCTGTGGTACAGGGCTCTCGACGGCGTGCTGCTAAGCGTTGGCTGGAAGAAGAGCCAGGTCGACACGGCGCTCTACTTCAAG